CCCCCCCCAAAAAAAATATACCCGGACAGAGTGTAGCATGCACGTGCTGCTGGGATATCTGAAACCCCTACGGATCGGCAGCAGTCAATGTGAGAACGAGGCGGTTGGGAAAAAAGGATACTCAGGCGCCCCCCCCCATTTTTACGCCATGTCGTACACACCCGCGCTTGTTCAGCTCACCACGACATCGTCATCTGTATTGCCGGAGCGTACCACGACATGCGCCAACCGAATCTATGTAGCGTTTGTATCATGTGCCAGGCACGATTGTCCCAGCTGTGCAGCCGTCGATATGTGTAGAGTGAGCAAGTCCATGGCAAGTCCATGGCAATCATTCAAATCCTCAGGCACGCTTACACACCAGATTCTCCGCGACTAGCTGCACCCAAGTAGCAAGTTGTTCATTCGGGAAGAAACCCCGCGAGATGCGGCGCGACGCGTTTGGTGGGGTGAGTACCGCCTATAGACGTCCATGGCAGAGGCCGCCAGCTTCGACAAGTCCACGTCACGGTATCTTTATTTTGGAGAAGCAACCCAGAGGAAATGTCAACAACGCCGAAGAAACAGATTGAGCCCCATCTACCTGTTTTTAGGTACTGCTCAGCCAGTCCTTACTCGTGTGTGTGGGGCTTGTGTTTAGTTCATTGGCTTCGATGTTCTGTGCTAGCCGTGGACTTGACGTTTGGCCAGTCCTTACTCGTGTGTGTGGGGCTTGTGTTTAGTTCATTGGCTTCGTTATTCTGTGCTAGCCGTGGACTTGACGTTTGGTATTGCTGCATTGGGTGTCGGCANATGTTCTGTGCTAGCCGTGGACTTGACGTTTGGCCAGTCCTTACTCGTGTGTGTGGGGCTTGTGTTTAGTTCATTGGCTTCGTTATTCTGTGCTAGCCGTGGACTTGACGTTTGGTATTGCTGCATTGGGTGTCGGCAGGTACAGGCGCCACTGCTGTTGATGCACTCGCCGATGCGCTGCGACTCGCTTGGGTGCGTTACTGCTCCATTTTGTTGTGTTTGAGAAGCCCCTTCTCCTCATGTTTTAACTTGTCTGCCCAGAATGCCAACTCATGGGTATTCTTCGCCGCCAGAGCTCCCACGAAGAAACAATGCGAGGACATCCTGAAACAGCACGTTCTACTGAGCAAGCCTCGCCCCTATGTTCAGATCATTGACGATTGGAAGAGGCATGAGTAGGCTCACTCTGGTGGGCCCCGACACCACANTGCAAGCCTCGCGCCTATGTTCAGATCATTGACGATTGGAAGAGGCATGAGTAGGCTCACTCTGGTGGGCCCCGACACCACACTCCAAGACGTTATCACGAACAACCTTTCGGAGCAAACCAATTCCGCGGTTGGTGTCGAGGTAAGGCTACTCGTCGCACGAGGTACTTCTTATGGGGCTGCCGGGATCGGTGTTGTAAATACGAAAGTACCAATATGCCAGGACGATGTCCGTTCCGTTTGTTGTGCACGATGTATGATCGGTAGCAGTATTGGTCGGACAACGAGCCGCGAAGACTCGAACACGTTGCTGTAGATTCCATGTCAGGGACACCCACCCACTCGTTGGAAGGCAAGGGCACCCTGCGTAGCAGTGAAGAGACCGATAGTAGTTGTTTCGTCAGAAAAGAACCTGAATAAAAGGCTTTTTCGCTGACGTGAATGGACACGAATGTACACGTGCGCCTCCCACGACCCCTCCACCGCACCCCCCGCGCTCCCGCGCATTATTGCTCGAGTTGTGGGTGCACCCCTACCCTGTATTGGTGATTCTCTTGTACCAATGCGACGCCCCGTGTCGACCACTGCAAGTAAGCGAGCATGCTTGGTTTCGCTCCAAACGTTGCTTGATCATGTTGCAACTTATTCGGCACTTATTCGGCGATGACCTGTCACAGGCTAGGAAGCTACCGCCATTGGAGCTGATGAGGAGCATCCTCACTGATAGCGCCAAGAAGTTCGCCCACCGTTCCACCCTCGGCAATGGCACATGGACACCCTATGCTGCCGCGACGTTCGAAGATGAGAGGAAGAAGTCCGCCGGGTAAGTGACAAGAGTGGAGAATGAACGGCCGCGTTTGGGTTTTTCTGTGTATGGGTACGTGCTCTTGTGGTTTCGAAGAGACAACCTAGTTCCTGGAGGACTCTCCTGTACTTGCACGGACGGGTGGTGGGTTGCCAACGGGTGGGTGTTCCATGACATGTTTCGAGGTGCACGCACGCCGCCGAGATTCACATGTACTCACATGCACGCCTTCGCCACGCGACGTTCATTATTCCAGGCTCGTCGCCTCCCCCACGGGCAACCAGTTCTGCACGGTCGAGAACACCAACCTCGCCACCCTCAACACCCGCGGCAACAGGGTCCTGCTGAGGTGAGGCGAGCCGGGGCAGAAGATGGAGTGGTCCTGCACATGCGGGTTCCCCGCGAGATTCCAAATCCCTTGCTGCAACGTCATTGCCGTGGCTGGAGGTAAGCGATGTGCCTATTTAGTGGGCACAGCAGTAGTCTTGTGGCCGAAAAAAACGATGAACGTGTTGCCAGGAGCCCTCCAGTAGCACTCTGTGAGTGTGTTGTCGCGGAATCGATCGGATCACTTGCGTGCTTAGTTGCGTGCTCACACGGCAAACCTGTTTTTGCGCTGCATGCTCTGTCTTTGTCCTCTTGTCATAGTGGCGGGTCTTTTTGTTTGCTGTGTCTGTTCATTTTAGTTGTTTTCTGCGTGGTTTTGTTTTTGTTTTCTTTATCTCTTTTGTCCTGTCTTCCCCGGATAGTGTATTTTCTCCATCTTTGCGGAGTACCAAGATGAACCAGGCGATGAACTACAAAATCTGGCCTGTGATTTTACCTTTTTTTAGGCAGCGTAGCCTGTGACCACAGGAATCGCTCGGTCAAGTGTTTGATGACACAAGAAATAAGCGGTCTACGTTCGCGCACTTCCAGTTGAACGAACTAGGACCCTTTCTCGAAAGCGATTCACACACCCGCACCCGCAACGGCAGCTTCGAGGTTGTGGTTACATGCGGTGCTCCGGCCACAATACGTGAAAGCCAAAGTCTAACCGATGCCAATATGTCTTAATGTATTCCTTCTCATGCTCCATGATTGGAAAACAGGTGGCACGATACTTTACTTTCGGTCAGTCCGCCGTCGCGCGTCAGTATCCCTTTCGGCCGCGGTCGGCAGAAACTAACCCACGCTTATTCACTCCTGTCATTTCCCTCTTCTGTCGCTGTCCATGTTGCTCCCTCCTTCAATACACACCGAGGAGGACAAGATGGACGCTGTCATGACCCTCATGAACCCGGCCTATCGCCTCAAATACCACCGCCAGACCTACGGCGACGACGCGTACCAGGTCATGCTGCCTGTGGCATCCACGCTGGAGGAAGATGACACCCTGCTACCTCTTCTCCCCATGGATGGTTAGGCCGGCGCTCCCAAGAAACTTGGGCCGAAAAAGTTCAAGGGGATCGCGGGGCGCGGGGACAAGTACGCTTCGTCGTCGTTCAACACGCGAGTTTCTGAACTCGGCCCGACTGCATCCGGAACCACGGCGGCTCCCTTTCTGTCGCAGGGGGGTGCCACGGCGGCTCCCTCTCTGTCGCAGGGGGGTGCCACAGCGACTCCCTCTTCGTCACAGGGGGGGGGTGCGGGCGGATCGGTCACGGTCGGGGGCATGGTGATCAGTTTGACACGCCGAATGCCGCCCGCCGAATGACGACGTGTGTTGCCGTTTTTTACGTGCCATGTACTACGCGATATTCTATTTTCGTGCCGTGCACTCCCCGGTGAAGAATCGGGGATCGCGGGCCTTGACATTCATCTAGCCGAAGACCAAATGGGTGATGACGATGGTGAATAATGGTGGGCAGGGAGGTTTTTAGAATCTTTGATACTTTCGTCTTTCTTTCTCTGGCTTTCGTGTTCCATGCGGTACGTCGGTTAAGTTCAATGCAAGGCGCAAGCGAGTGTGCTCACCCTTTCGCTTTGCATCGTTGATTTGTAGCACACACACTCTGCTGACTATTATAGGAACTTCCGGGGTACACGTTGCTGCTACACAGGGGAAGTAAACGAGCGTGTCGTGTTCAGATGTAGACGTCGGAACCCGTATTCTGGTGTGGCATTCGAGTCCTTGCGAGGGAGGGGGCGAGGGGGGCGGGGCCACCACTTTCCTTGAAGAGATGAGAATGTTCGATTATGTTTTTATCCCGACTTTATTCCTCTCATAATGTAGGTATTTAGCTGTCGATTCGCATTTTTCTGCGGAAACCGACGCGTAAATGTTGAATCAAGACGAAGTAACTGGTGCGTTGCCACATCGCCAAATTCACACGATGTACGATCGAATACCTTATGTGCTCAAAAGGTCATTCATGCATGATCAATACTTTTCTGAGGATTCCTGAGACAGACCTACGCAGCATGCAGCCTCTTCACTCCCGCGTAACACTCCTGTATGACTCTTATCAGTATTGTAAATTGAGCTACACCACAATTCTATCGTAAAGATAACATCTACCTCTACTCTACAGTGTTGGTGACGACGCATGGCATGGAGCCTGGGACCGAGTCGACCGACGTTGACGGTTGTTGGTGCACGCCACCGCCGTGCGGTCGATCAACACCCAAACATGCACGCTCGGAAAGAAGACGGAAATACACAGCACCTGGCACAGCCAAACAGGTATCTACATAATGGCCGTAGCTCCGTGCTCCTAGCTCCCTGGTAAAATCCCTTGCGGAGCAGCGCGTCCGCGGAACAGCGCAGAGGGTGTGTGCTTGTGTGTGTGTGGTTGGGGAAGAGAGACAACACTGAGTGGGTCGGCAATATATGTGCGCTGTGTCTGTAGACTAGCTATCAACAGCGAGCTGCTATCATGTCGCACCTTGGAGACACACTCTGCTATAATTTTGTTTCTCTTCCGAGTGGTTTTTGTACCCTATTTTTTTCTGTTTCTTCGTGGGGTCGTGTATGCCGGGTTTTGAGACCACGGGCTCCCAATCTTTCTTTTTTAGAGCTAATGTGAGAAACAACAAACAACAACAATATCTTGCGAGGGTTACGTCCACACCACCAGCATTTCCATGAGGAAGGAGGATCCGATCGCCATTAGATCGCCAATTGCGGTTGTTGCGCCTCCTGTGTGCCCGTTGTCAATTTCACCAGTCAGTCTAATTTGACGTATTTATCGACTCGTGGGCCCTCGCCCCTCTCCTAGATAGAGTGGGTCGAACTCGCTCTATCCGCGAGTTAGCTCGCTGTGGTGCTCGCACATTATTATTAGGTTAGTACAGAGAGACAAATAGGGCACGCCCTGCTTAATGCTTCCGAGGCACAGCAGCACAGCAGCAGCAGCAGCAGCAGCAGAACACGGCGGTTGGTTTCGCCGCGATCTACGGAGGAGGCTGTCGGAGGTTGGTATCCTTTGAGGCAATGTGCCCGTCAACAAGCGTTGGTGGTTTGTGTGGCTACTGCTGTGGGGTATGTGCGGTATATGGTGGGTCATGCGGGTATGCGCGGTATACGTTTTTTTTTTGCGGGTTTTAGAGTCGTCGGACGCCTGGATATTATGTAGCTAATATTATGACCATATCTGGGTACAAAATCGACCCTTTACGGGTACGCCAGTTGTAGTTGTAGTTGTTGTTGTTGTTGTTGTTGTTGTTGTTGTTGTTGTTGTTGTTGTTGTTGTCGTCGTCACATTAAAAACCGTTCCGATCTCTCTCTACCCAGTACCTTCGTATGTCCGTACTGATAAACACTCGACGCGGTCGATTCCCGTGGTCGCAGGCTTACCCTAGAAAGGTACACTCAAATAAAATGGCCCCGAGGGGTACTCCAGTAACCAATATCGGTTACACCAGAGGGTGCTATCTCCAGCGGAAGTTGTACCCGATGGAGATTTCGCCAATAATGGGTACAATGGTTTTTCGGCCAATCAACTGACAGCCTGGGGTTGCAACCGTCTTGATTTCTGACTCTACCCGAAAGTGGTGACGAAGTACCCGGGTATACCCGTTTCTGGTTATTGGTCAGACGACAACACGAAAAACGCGGCAACAACATGTGGCGGAGCCCCCCGCCTTTAGCTTCACAAGTCACAAGCAAGCCAGCAGGCGAGTAGGGCTGTGCCAGGGGAAAGAACCAACAGGGCTTCCAGTGCGACGAACACACTCATCGAGTTGCATTTCGGGACGAAGAGCTGTCGAATCATTCACTGCGGTAACAGGAGGTACTGCTTGGGGTTGGGATGTCTTTTGTGCGGACGGTCAGGATGCGGGTCCCTGCTGGCACCGCCAAGCCTGGACCGGCCATCGGACAGGCGCTTGGTCCTCTGGGCATCAACATGATGGAGTTCTGCAAGAAGTTCAACGAGGAGACCAAGCACATCGTGCAGAACACGCCCATGCCTTGTGTGAGTCAATTGCATGCTGTGTAGACTATGCTGGGGCAGTCAATCCATGTACCGGAGGTGACCCACAGCAGGTACTGCTCTGAGGTTACACTCCCGTGGACCGATTTTGCAACTTTCAAATACTCCGCTGCAAAAGTAACGGTGGTGCTGACAATAGTGGCGTTGGAATCGCCTCATCGAGAGCGTTCCGAAAAACACAGTTGATCAATGTGTCCTCTTCGTCGTGGTGTAATCGAGCTATCACAACGATCCAGGGGGGTGTGATATCTTACGTCACCTACAGCGGTACATCTCGGATGGCTACCGAAGGCACCGTTGAACGGTGCCTCCCTGCTTGTCATGTGCCAAGAGGGTCAAGCACGAAGTCGCCGAAGTTTTGCTGATGTTTGATCATGTCATCGCTGCTGCTTGTCTGCATTACAAATGACGGCAGGACGTGCTCATGGCAAGAGATATGTGCTTGTACTGTGCTCGGTACAGGAGATCTGTAACAAACCATGGTAGCACTTGAAGCCGGTAATGCATGCAGCTGCTTGTAGCCTTGTATAGTTGAGAATGGGCCACACCCCAGACGAAACACTTGGCGTTGCTCGTGTCCCCGCTGTTGCACTGTGCTGGTATCCTTCCAGCTGAGAAAAACACAACCGGGATGTTGGTACCCACAGCGGTCTTAACCATTATGTGACTTGGTTTTCCCTGGATCTTCCGAGGGTCTTTATTTTTCTTAACTGGGCGAAGAGACCGCTGACATCATCAAGGCCAAGGCTGTGCAACACACATATTTCAACCACCGTCTCCCGTTCTCCACACACCCTACCGGTATCTCCCACATGCACTCGAGTACACAAGGTCGCATCCACACGCCACTCCCTTGCTCACACAAACCTTTGGTATGTAACAGCAGACCAACACACATCAGGACTCTCATCGGTGACTGCTGTACGAGCTGGGCGTGAACTGGGGGGCTCGATCGAGAGAGGCAGACACATCGTCGTCACCCCGCACTGCTGCTGCTGTGAACTGAACATGGGTAACCACATGGGATAGCTCTAGTAATATCACTGCTGTCCGCCCGCGGCCGAGGCAGCACACCCCGCCCGCGAGGCCTGGCACCTCCTAACGTTCCACTTTCAGTGCTCCTTCGTTGGGAGCGACGAGACATGTCCACGCACGAACGAATGTGACATCGGGAAAAAATCCGAAAAAATATCCAACCGTCGGCAGCACACCAGCAGCAGAAGCAGCAGCAGTAGCAGTAGCAGCAGGCCTCGTGGTATGACATTCGGTTGAAAAGAGACGCCGATACGCATACGTAGAGGGGACCCGTCGAGAGGCTTCGCAAGGTGGACCCTTCTTCCTGTGCGCCAGCGATAACTTGGGAACAAAACGAATAAAAAATCTGAAGTATGCAACCAACTGCTGTGTGTTCGAATCGCAAAATATCGCAATATCGGGTCAAATAGAATAAAATCGTGCAAAATTATCAATTTCTATACTAAAGATAGAGGGGGAAGATCGGAGCTGTGATCAGAGTTGTAGTCCCGAAAACCCTTGCTATTGTGAGCGAAAAGTGGCCGGGGACGATAGTCTCCTTGCCGCTCCTACCTCTCTACCTTTAGGCACAACAGCAGCAGCAGAAGTAACCCAATCACTACCATCATCATGGACCCAGAGGAAGTTGCTCAGTTTTGGCAGCACATAGCAGACCAATGGCATCCCGAGACGGCTCCACGTGTTGTCTGGGATGAGCTGCTGGCCATCGCGAACTCCACGCCAGACCAACTTCCCGACGCCACGGCTGCTGCAGCCCGGGCGGTAGGACAGCGCTACTGTCAACACGGTGCAGCAGAGCCGCAGCCCCTACCCGAGATCAGGAACCGTGCGGAAAAAGAAAGACCGCGGCGCGGCAGCACCCCGGTCTCTGCGGGTGTGTAGGGGACGCTACTGCTGCTGTGCTGTGTCCCCGTCGTTATTTCGTTCCTTTTCGACGGTCTACTCGTCCAGTCGAGCCCTCGTCGGCGCAGGTATCCACAGCTCAATTCGGGCTCAATTCGGTTCGATAATGTCGCATTAAAGAGTCATCGGAGCTGGGAACGGAGCTCATTCGTGGGTGTAGTCACATAAGGGTTAAGAGGCATGCGCTTGGCTGCACTAGATATGTGCTGACATCAGAACGGCTACTCGTACCGGCAAGCTTCTTGTAGTAGGCGTGCCACGCGTAGGTCATTCCCAGGTTGCTTTTTCCGAAGTGCCTTGGTGTGTGGAATGGTCTGAAACTGCACCCGGCCAGCCCACTCCTCCGATCGGTTCCTTCCCCATGTCTTAGTCTTGAAGTGATTGCTCTGTTTGAACCGAGCCGAAAAATCGTCAACTCTTGTGGGTGAGAGAGTTTTCCACCAACATGAAGCTACCTTGGAGACAGTTAATCGCACCAGGACGGCCGTACCAAGCAAACGTGGGTAGGCGTAGGTACGTCTGAAGAGTTTATGTCTGCCTTGCGCAGTTCGAACGATTCCGCCCCCCGCAGTCGGCATCCCCTGAGGTAGCCCGATAAAGTACAGGCCGTCCCGTTGGACCCGCCCTCAGCTCCCTCAACACCCTAGCGTGGTGCACGTCTGTCTTCCCCTGCACACGTCGACTGCATTTGGACGTGTGATTTTTGTCTCGTGCTGCTTTCTAAACGCCCTCTCCCTCGTCGCAATGGTCATGGTTTCGCCTATCCGTTCCAGGAGCTGACGGCCTACACCGACAGAAGCTTTACGTTCAAGCTGAGCACGCCGCAGACGACGTGGATGCTCAAGCGGTGCGCGGGTATTAAGAAGGTCAGTGTCGCCTCCACATGGGATTTTTCGGCTGGCTCGCTGATACACACGGTGCTGTGAGCAGCGATCGGTGATATTCCAAACAACGGAATCAATACATAAGCGTTGCGCCTGCTTCTGTTTCGAAGTGCATCACGCGAGAGGGAAGTTTTCAGCTGCTGAAGTACCCGTGCCCACCTTTTTCGCTATCCAAGCAGCGTTTCGACAGAAGCTGGGGCTCGCAAGGGTTTAAATTGTCACATGCATGTACACAGTTGTGTCCCTCTGTTTTGCCTTTCTCTTGTTGAGCCTTAAGACAAGGGTGACTTCATAGTGGAGTGCTGATGCCGTGCCCCCTCTTCCCGGCTTCGCGCGGCAACGGGAGCCTAGCCTTATTCTTTAGACAGGATCAAACAAGGTGGTGCCCGTTGAATCATTCCGTGTACTGGTGTTTCAGGGTTAAGGAACGTCGCTAACCGTCCATTCTCCTTCTGGTTGCCGTGTTCTTCTGTTGTATTTCAGGGCGGGTCCAGAGCCGGTCACGAGTACTGTGGAAAGGTAAGGGAGCGGGGGCATGTCTTCCTGTGTCTCACGGATTGCTCCGCGTGGTTATGGGGTTATTATTGGACACGAGCAAGTCGTGCCGTGGGCACGGTGTTTGGCTCTTTGCTAGCTGGTGTTTTCTATGAGTTGGTCTGCGGCAGGTGTAACTCGCTTCGTTGACATATCCGGGACGGTGTACCGGGCCCGCTTGCATGCGCTTTTGCCGCTCTGCTCTTAAACGCCTCATCTCGTGCAAATACTCACGCGACGTACACCTAGTTTCACTCGCGCCTTCAATCCGAGGGGCACTTGTTGTTCGGTTTGGTGCGCAAGGGACGAGGATAGATGGTGTCCTTGCGGAGCCACAGACTTCTGTATCAGCTGCGAGTCAGCCGTGTCTTTTGGTGGATGCCTGCCAAGATAATTTTACGGTACGCTGGCATGCTCATGTCGCCACGCCTCCTTGAGTCAATCTCCTGGTGGAGCGGGTAAAGCGATTGCTGGACGGACTGAGGTGCTCCGCTCTTCCATGAAGGCGTCAGATATTCTTGGTGTTCGATTGTACCCAAAGTTTATGGGGTGAAATCACCCCGAGACGTATTGGACACGCTTCGCTTGCATGCAAGGTTTTCCCAGGATGGATAGAGGAAAGTTTCTGCATGAACTTTTCAGAGTGAAATTCGCCCTAGTCGAACGGTAGCCCTGGTGCTCACCGTGCGCAATTCAGTCCGCCGAGGGCACCAGAAGACGCGCGGACAACGAACGACATTGCCTTGTTTTGTCCCGTGGAAATCCTGTTTGTGGCCGACTCTACAAAACGAGTCTTCCGCATTGGTTTCTAATGAGACTGTCGACCAGGACTATCACGTAGATCGAACGCCAGACCCATCGTGTTTTGCTGGATCCCACCCCCCGGCATCATCCCAAGACCTGTAGTGGTTTATTGTTTTTAGCTTCACGTCTGACGCTTTTCGCTTACCCCTATCGGCCGACAAATGACCTACTGCGAGTCCAGATCGGTCTCAAGGCCCTGTACGAGATCGCAAAGGTGAAGAACGCGGAGGAGCACAGCGTCCTGCTTCCCCTGGAGAGTGTTTGCAAGTCCGTGAGGGCGACGGCGCTGTCGATGGGGCTGGAGATAGTGGACGACAGAGAGTCTCTCAAGCAAAAGGGCGGCGGCTTGTGATCTCGATGTGTTGCGATAGTGTCGCGCTCTATTTCAAGTAAAGTGAACCTTTTGATCTAGTGTTTTTTTGCGTGGTAGCGAACGGGCAGGTTTGATTGTTTGGGATAGGAGTCATGGGGGTGTAGTTCATAGAAGGGGTAATGCGATACCAAAAGTACGAATATGTTTCGTTGCGCTGTATGCGTACGCATCCCATTCGCGCCGCGTTTGGGCGCAGGCCTTCGGCCAAAAGAACTTGCCGTTTCGGATTGCGGTATTCCAAACTGTGGCTAGGGACATCCGCGGGGCTGTTCGGCCGTGCAGGGTACGAGTCTTGTGAGGATCTGCCGTGTGGAAGAGCGGAGCAACCACCTACCACGAAATATATACAACATATATATTTTTTCAGTATCGTCGTGTTGGCACAAATCTTGGTTGCGATTTTACAGAACGAAATTGTTACTAGAAGTTTCGAAATCAATTCCTGGCAAGATTGTTCATGTCTGAGCCCCAAGCCACAGACGGAAACACGAAGTGCAAGATATTCTGCAGCAGAGTCGAAGAGACCAGCAGGGTGTTAGGATGATCCGAACTGGGGGTAGCTTGTCGCAAGACGTGTGTTGAATAGGGTGTCGGCAACTCGGCGAGCTCGCGCCAAGGAGGAAAGACGTGTAGGGTTTGTTGCATAAACTTCTTCTTCACATGAACTCACATGAACTTACATAAAACACATATAAAACTGAACGCACGCGTGCACGCACCACCATGAGGGGGCGACGCAGTATACAACAGGGGTACCTTGCACATCCTGGAAATACATTCCACGTACCACACAATCCTACAACCACTTGGCATTGCTACAAGTATATCTATCAGCCCCCCTGCTTGTGACCATGCCATGTCTTTTTCGATCCTCAATAACTCCAAAACACAAGAAAATAAAATCAGAAACTCCACTCAACTCTAGAACAATAGCCTCATTGGCTAGACATCAATAACCATCCCCGATCATACCAGTTATACTTCTTCGAACTTCAGTGAACTTGTTGCCCCCCAGCCTAGAACATCATCCATTGAGAAAAACCATAGGCAAAAATGTAAAATGTTGCCACCCCAGTTGTTTGATCACACACAAAATAAACCCGAACACCAAGATATTAATCCATACTCATCACGTAGTTACGATGAAACTCAAAATCTCCCGCGTGAAGTGCTTTCGTGAGAAAGTCAGCATGTTGATACGCCGATTCCACGTGAAAAATCGAAATCTCCTTCCTGCCTACCAGTTCCCTGATAAAGTGGTGCCTTACGTCGATGTGCTTCGAGTTACTGTTGCTTATCGGGTTTTGCGCCAACTGAATAGCCCCTTGGTTATCCTCGAACACCGGAATACATGGCATGCCTGCTTCTGGTAACATGAAACGCCACACCTGCCTCAGAAACAACACTTCCTTCATCACATCCGCAAAAGAGACATACTCCGCCTCTGTCGTGCTCAACGTAACGCACTTCTGGGTCCTTGAAAACCAAGAAATACATCCCCCCCCACACATCACCAATCCCCCTGACACAGACCTCCTATCGGCAGCCTTACTTGCATAGTCTGCGTCTGCGAACACCTCCATGCTTAATCCTGCTACACTACCCCTCCTGAATGTAATACCCAAGTCACTAGTCCTTACCACATACCCCAAAATACCAAGCCCTGCTCTCCAATGAATCTCTTTTGGAGAGGCACAGTACCGTGCCACCGCTCTTACTGCATTCGCGATATCTGGCCTCGTTTGCGTTGCCAGCCACATCAATGATCCTATCAGCTCACGAAAAGGCCATGATACCACTTCCTCATCCTGGTCAAACTCTGAAAGCTTCAACCCTACAGGAAGAGGAATTTCCTTCCCGTACTCTACCCCAAACTCCATCCCCAACTCTTCAGCGTACGTCTGCTGCGAGATCTTCAAAGTTCCTGCATCCCAATCTCTCTCATAAAAACATCCAGAGTACCATCTCAAATCCCCAAGATTCTTCACAGGTACCATGGTGTTGAGGTCCCTGCCAAACTGGTCACACCTCTCCTCCTCTCCTATCGAAAATATATCATCTACATGTACCACCAGAGTCACTACCACTCTTCCCTCCTCAATCAACCGAAACACACACGTATCCGCCATACACTGAATAAAACCCAAACAAATCAAACACCTCGCCAAGTGTGAGTGCCACTGCCTTGATGCCTGCTTAAGGCCATATAGACTCTTGTTCAACTTCACGATCATACCTGATAATCTACCACACCCCTCTGGCAGACGCATAAAAACATCCTCATCCAAATCCGACTGGACAAATGCCTGCTTGATGTCAAAATGACGGAGAGAAAGATTTTGCTCACACGCCATCGCTGCCAACAAGCGAACGCTAGAAACCGCTACAGTCGGTGCATACGTCTCTCCACAATCTACATGTACTCGCTGCATATCTCCTCTCGCTACTAGCCGTGATTTCACATTGGTTGGCCATCCATACTCATCAGATTTCCAATCAAACACCCACTTCGCCTTGATAACACTTTCTGGTTGCTACATTACTTCCTCAAAGGTACCAGCCTCCATCAGGCCTCTGAACTCCTTCTCTACAGAGTGTATCCACAAGTCAGCATGTTGAGAGGACACAGCCTCCCTATACGTTTTGGGTACGCGCAAGTCGCTCGCATAGCACTGTGGCAAGTCCGGTGCCACTTCCGGGGGATCTAAATCCCTCATCGCGCGATCAATGTCCTCGCGGGAGGCAAGCAAGGTGGCGCACGCAAATGGGACTTCTTCACGCAGTCCTTCTGTTTTCGTGCCCTCCCGCTCTCGCCCCCCCGGCTCCGCTCCATCACGTCCTCCGGCTGAACTCGGGATCTCCTTCCTCCCCCCATCGACGATGCTGCGAGTGGTTAGAGTCGACAGGAGCGTTGCCTTGTCCTGCAGGGAAACAAGACCGAAGCGGTGGGCGAGAGCGTCGCCGCTCCCGCCAGGTGACGTCGACCGCTCGGCCCCCCCATCCTGGAAACGCACCCGCCGACCCCTCAACCTCCCTGGCACCCGCGTCTCTCGTCCCAAGTCCAGCTCTCGATTGGCCCTGGCAGAGAGGGGCGGCATTGACGACGCACGCCCCCCCCCCTGGTCCTTAGCGGCTGCCCTCGTGCGCCCAGAAACCCTCATGTCGCCGCGCCCCACGTCCAGTTCACGGATGGTCCTCGTAGTGAGCGGCGGCATGTTGGTGGAAGGCGCGGCACCGGGCGGCACGGCGGCGGGAGACGGTATTACTGACGGTGCAGCGGCGGTGGTGAACGGTGAGGCCGGAGGCGAGGCGGCAGTGGTGAACGGTGTCGCGGCGGCGAACGGCGGTGCAGGCGGCGCGGTGGTGGTGAACAGTGGCGCGGCGGCGAGCGGCGTTGCAGGCGGCGCGGTGGTGGTGAACGGTGGCGCGGCGGCGAGCGGCGTTGCAGGCGGCGCGGTGGTGGTGAACGGTGGCGCGGCGGCGAGCGGCGTTGCAGGCGGCGCGGTGGTGGTGAACGGTGGCGCGGCGGCGAGCGGCGTTGCAGGCGGCGCGGTGGTGGTGAACGGTGGCGCGGCGGCGAGCGGCGTTGCAGGCGGCGCGGTGGTGGTGAACGGTGGCGCGGCGGCGAGCGGCGTTGCAGGCGGCGCGGTGGTGGTGAACGGTGGCGCGGCGGCGAGCGGCGTTGCAGGCGGCGCGGTGGTGGTGAACGGTGGCGCGGCGGCGAGCGGCGTTGCAGGCGGCGCGGTGGTGGTGAACGGTGGCGCGGCGGCGAGCGGCGTTGCAGGCGGCGCGGTGGTGGTGAACGGTGGCGCGGCGGCGAGCGGCGTTGCAGGCGGCGCGGTGGTGGTGAACGGTGGCGCGGCGGCGAGCGGCGTTGCAGGCGGCGCGGTGGTGGTGAACGGTGGCGCGGCGGCGAGCGGCGTTGCAGGCGGCGCGGTGGTGGTGAACGGTGGCGCGGCGGCGAGCGGCGTTGCAGGCGGCGCGGTGGTGGTGAACGGTGGCGCGGCGGCGAGCGGCGTTGCAGGCGGCGCGGTGGTGGTGAACGGTGGCGCGGCGGCGAGCGGCGTTGCAGGCGGCGCGGTGGTGGTGAACGGTGGCGCGGCGGCGAGCGGCGTTGCAGGCGGCGCGGTGGTGGTGAACGGTGGCGCGGCGGCGAGCGGCGTTGCAGGCGGCGCGGTGGTGGTGAACGGTGGCGCGGCGGCGAGCGGCGTTGCAGGCGGCGCGGTGGTGGTGAACGGTGGCGCGGCGGCGAGCGGCGTTGCAGGCGGCGCGGTGGTGGTGAACGGTGGCGCGGCGGCGAGCGGCGTTGCAGGCGGCGCGGTGGTGGTGAACGGTGGCGCGGCGGCGAGCGGCGTTGCAGGCGGCGCGGTGGTGGTGAACGGTGGCGCGGCGGCGAGCGGCGTTGCAGGCGGCGCGGTGGTGGTGAACGGTGGCGCGGCGGCGAGCGGCGTTGCAGGCGGCGCGGTGGTGGTGAACGGTGGCGCGGCGGCGAGCGGCGTTGCAGGCGGCGCGGTGGTGGTGAACGGTGGCGCGGCGGCGAGCGGCGTTGCAGGCGGCGCGGTGGTGGTGAACGGTGGCGCGGCGGCGAGCGGCGTTGCAGGCGGCGCGGTGGTGGTGAACGGTGGCGCGGCGGCGAGCGGCGTTGCAGGCGGCGCGGTGGTGGTGAACGGTGGCGCGGCGGCGAGCGGCGTTGCAGGCGGCGCGGTGGTGGTGAACGGTGGCGCGGCGGCGAGCGGCGTTGCAGGCGGCGCGGTGGTGGTGAACGGTGGCGCGGCGGCGAGCGGCGTTGCAGGCGGCGCGGTGGTGGTGAACGGTGGCGCGGCGGCGAGCGGCGTTGCAGGCGGCGCGGTGGTGGTGAACGGTGGCGCGGCGGCGAGCGGCGTTGCAGGCGGCGCGGTGGTGGTGAACGGTGGCGCGGCGGCGAGCGGCGTTGCAGGCGGCGCGGTGGTGGTGAACGGTGGCGCGGCGGCGAGCGGCGTTGCAGGCGGCGCGGTGGTGGTGAACGGTGGCGCGGCGGCGAGCGGCGTTGCAGGCGGCGCGGTGGTGGTGAACGGTGGCGCGGCGGCGAGCGGCGTTGCAGGCGGCGCGGTGGTGGTGAACGGTGGCGCGGCGGCGAGCGGCGTTGCAGGCGGCGCGGTGGTGGTGAACGGTGGCGCGGCGGCGAGCGGCGTTGCAGGCGGCGCGGTGGTGGTGAACGGTGGCGCGGCGGCGAGCGGCGTTGCAGGCGGCGCGGTGGTGGTGAACGGTGGCGCGGCGGCGAGCGGCGTTGCAGGCGGCGCGGTGGTGGTGAACGGTGGCGCGGCGGCGAGCGGCGTTGCAGGCGGCGCGGTGGTGGTGAACGGTGGCGCGGCGGCGAGCGGCGTTGCAGGCGGCGCGGTGGTGGTGAACGGTGGCGCGGCGGCGAGCGGCGTTGCAGGCGGCGCGGTGGTGGTGAACGGTGGCGCGGCGGCGAGCGGCGTTGCAGGCGGCGCGGTGGTGGTGAACGGTGGCGCGGCGGCGAGCGGCGTTGCAGGCGGCGCGGTGGTGGTGAACGGTGGCGGTGGTGTGGCTGCGGTAGACGGCGCCGCCGGCGATGGTGGTGTGGAAGTTGCCGGCGGCGCCTGTGAGAGTATGGCAGCGGGTGAAGTGGGAGGTCGGGCATACGGTGAGGGGGGTAAGAGAGGCGGTGAAATATACTCAATTAGAAACGGTGCGGCGGCGACATTCGAATCTCCCCCCTCGTCCGCCGGCGCCGGCAGCTCCAGCGGCGGGGTCAGCAACGGCGCGCGGTCGGAGACCCACACGACGTTGTTCGTCATGCACACGCGCCCCGTCGCGAACTTGAGGACCTTGACCGCCGACTCGTGATGGTTGTCGCCGTTGTTGAGGTAGCAGCACAGCACTGCCTGGGGATCCATCTTCCTCGCGCGCGTCACACGCATATACCCCGGCTGCAAGAACGGGACGATCTGGAGCGGTGGCGGGCGACCGGTGAAGAGCTCGTGCGGCGACTTGTACCCGACGTTTGCCTTGGTCGGAGAACGGTTGAAGCCGCCGGCAGCCCAGTGACACGATTCTAGCCAGAGTCGCTCGCCATCGCGCCCGAAGCCGGGGACGCGGGTGAAGTCGATCTTGGGGAACAGGCGGGGTGCCTCGAGACGAGCGGCGTGGCCGGCCTTGTTCACGCGCCAGATCGCACTCTCCGCCGGACCATTCTGCTGCGGGGTGCCCGGCGCCGTGTACGTACGGCGGATGCCGGCGTTGTCACAGAAGGCGATGAAGTCGCGTCCGATGAACTCCCCCCCGTTGTCCATCCGGAAAGAGCGAGGGACACCGGTGCCACTCATGCCGGCGAGGAACTTCTTGACGAAGGCGAGGGTGTCCGACTTGCGCCTCATCCCGTACAGCTTCATCCACCGCGAGAAGCTGTCCACGAACATAATCATGAAAAACGAACCCCCCAGCGAGGCCGTCATCGGCCCACACAGATCGATGTGCCAAAGATCGTGCGGCCGCTCCGCGCGCGTGCCCAATTGGTGAGGCACGCCCGCCTTCTTCCCCTTCGCCTGCAGGCATCCACCACAAGGCTGCAGGACACCGGTCAGTCGGAGACCGTGCTGCTTCGCAAGCTCACGCAAAAGAAACTCATTGGCGTGGGAGGACGAAACATGGAGAAGGTTAACGTCAATAATCTTGGTGGGTTTCCCCACCGAAAAAGGGCGCTTGCCCGGGGCCATAACGGGAACGGCGAAAGCAACATCATCGAAGACATTGGCAAATCCAGACTCAAACATCAAGTCTCAAAACTCGTAGGGGTCATCCGATTCTTGTCTCTGTTCTAAGAGGTACAAAGCCCACTCGTAATCTCCCTGCTCTGTGAACGGAATAAACCCACGGTCATCATCCTCACTATTCTCTTGAAAAACGGTGACGTCCGGCGATGGCAACCCGGGAACAGCTACCAACTCCATACCATGCGGCACTTGAGGAGCGGAGGGAAAAACCACACTCCTGTCAGCGGGGGAGGGGGCATACACTGTCGAAAGAACGACGCTGCTCGCAGCGGGCGGGATATTGATCACAGACGATGGCACTACGCTGTTTGCAGCGGGCGGGAAACCATACACCGTGGAAGGTACTATGCCGGCTGCAGCGGGCGGAAAATTCGACACGGGGGCATATCTGTGGGCGGTGTCACCAGAATGTACTACGCTGTTGGGAGCGGGCGGGAAACCAGAGACGGGGGTCGGCACAACGCTCGTCGGAGCGGATGGAAGCACGACACTGCTGACAGTGGGCGGGAACCTAGACACCGTTGGAGGTACTACACTGCCGGCGCTGGCGACAGTGGGCGGGAAACGAGAAAACGAGGAAGAGGGCATGTACGCTACACCTTGGGGAGAATGCTGCATGCGGGGGATTGCATGCATCGTTGCAACACCAGTCACACTCACAACGTCTGCAGAGCGAGGGGGAGGCGGAGGTAACGGTGTCACCACGGGCGCAGCAAGTGGCGTCGTGTAATCGGGCGGTAAACGAGTCGCTCTCAAGGAAGAACCACGCTCGCCACGGGGAAAAGTTAATCCACCGTCAAACAGGTGGATACCTATAGGATCCATTTCAATGCGTTGCCCTCCCATGGCCTTGTGAAGCGAAAACAAATTGTAACCCATTCCCTCAACGTGATACACGTTGGTGAGCTTCACGCAAAAATCGTTTCCACCATTGTGGAACTTGACGTTCAGGCTGCCGATACCAAGCACAGGCATCGTCCTACCATCGCCAATCACTACTCGCTCTCTACCAGGCGGAGGAATCATCACATCGTACATGCACCTCGGGTCACCGGTGGTGTGATTCGTGGCGCCTGAGTCTGCAAGCCAAGTTTCGTCTCCTACACTCTCATCAAGGACGTTCATCATTGCATATCCGTCGTCCCTTCGCTCTACTAGCACTCCATTTTCAGACTCACTTGGAAAAGCCCACACCACACACGCATGTAAATCCCCACCAGTCGATGGAGACGCTCCGGTCGAAGGCGCCGGAGGAGCGTACGGGTTGGAGATGGGCTGCTGCTGTTGCACGGGGGGGGGAAGGTACTCCGGCTGCTGCTGTTGGGGCGAGTAATGGTAAACGCCGCTCGCGTGCGTCACCGGATTTTGGTAAACGCCGCTCACGTGCGTCACCGCATGCGCCCCTGTAGATGGAGCTGTCGTCGCCACCACCGTCGCTCCTGCTGCTCTTGGCGCTACCCCCGGTAAACATCTCCGCCGTATTGCTGCGCCGTATTTGCCTGCCCATACGAGTGTGCCCAAGGCGGCCGCTGGCTGTAACCACCGGCCGGCGGCCGGGGCGGCGGGTGCCTGGGCGGCGCGTTGCCTGCCGGCATGCCAGCTGGCCTTCCGACATCAACACGCGAAGGGCAGAACAGGTGGTTGTGGCCGAGTTCACCGCAGTTCTCACACCGCTTGCGAGGGTCATTCGGGTGGATGGGAGGTTCATTTCCCTGTGTGCGGTACATGTTGGGGGGGTAGGTGCTGTAGTCGTAGCCTTGCTGAGGTACAGGGTAGGCGGGGAGGTTGCTGCCGGGCGATCCCTGGTGAAAAGGGCCCCTGCCCCTCCCACCGGAAGCGGCGCCACGTCCCCCGAATCTTCCTCCTGCCGGCTGCTGCTGATGACGTCCTCCTCCAGAAAAGCCCCGGCCCCCATGCTGGGGCCCGTGCCTTCCGCCGTAGCTCGCACCTTGGCCGCCCGAGGGACCTCCCCAACCCCGCTGCAAGCGACATTCCTCGTTGCTGTGGGACGGGGAGTTGTGGAGGTCGCAATATTTTATTTCAGGCGGGTACGACGGCAGGTATACCTGTTGCTGCTGGTTGAAGTACGGCTGATGATGATGCTGTGGCTGCTGCGGTTGTTGCTTCTGTTCCCGCGCTGCCGTCCTCCGTTGTCCTCTCGTCTTCCCCGGTCCCCCCGTGTTCCCTCCCCCGCCACTACGGTTCTCACCGCCAGTGACGAGGGCATAAGCCCCCACGCTCTCCTGCTTCTTCTTCCTTCGCGCCTCCATCTCCGCCCAAGCATTCACTATAATCCGTTCTACTCTCTCCTTCTCTAGACCGCTCTCGGACATCAGAAAACCTGTGTAGACATCATATTCGGGGAGGAGGTTGCGCACAAGATGTCTGTTAGCATCATCCTCTGTAATTGTCACTCCGCAAGATGATAGCCTTTGCCTCAGCACCCACCCTCTCGACAGGTACTCTTTCGGGTGTTGTTGAACCCCTTGCGTCAACTCCTGCCACTCTAGCTGGAGGCTCGTCTTTTCTGTGTGGGCATGCACTTGAAAATGATTTCGAAATATTCGCCATGACTCCGTTGGGCAACCACTAGAGATGATTGCTGGTACGATCGATGCAACTTGAATCTTTGCCAGTATTAACTGCCAGGCCTTCATGGCCTTCTCTACGGCCTTCCTACCATACTCCTCCTTCAGTTTGGGAATGTCTGCATCCGACTTCCCCACCCTGATTGTCTCTTCTGATACTATTGCATTCAGGCAATCTTCTTGTTGCAACAGCATTCGAAATTGGCTCTCAAACACCTGTACTCTAACTTGAACATCGCCACTGGAATCTAACACACCCGTAAATGGGGCTACATGTATTACAGGACTGACACGGATGGTGTCCTTAGGGGTTACGACTTCCCTGGTTTCCTCCCCCGGGGTGTTGGTCCTTCGCATTGCCCGTGCGAACGAATCAACGAGACGGTCTTCCAACGATCGTGGCTGGTCTTCAGGTTGCGGGTTCAACGCTGTTCCAGCCGGCCGAGCATGCCGGGGATCGCCTCCATCGGGGGGCATGTCCACGCTCTCTGAAGCGGGACGCTTTTCTTCTTGTTCTTTCATCTTCTGTTGTACTTTCTTCTCCACCTCCTCTTTGATGTGCGCCGCTAATGCTTGGCGATCCTCCTCAGTATAGCTGCTGAGGTCGAGGGCTTCCTCCATAATCTACTTCTCTAGCCGACCCTTTTATAGCTAGCCTCACCTCGGGATCCCGTATGATATCAGCACGCTAGCGTGTTAGGATGATCCGAACTGGGGGTAGCTTGTCGCAAGACGTGTGTTGAATAGGGTGTCGGCAACTCGGCGAGCTCGCGCCAAGGAGGAAAGACGTGTAGGGTTTGTTGCATAAACTTCTTCTTCACATGAACTCACATGAACTTACATAAAACACATAAACGCACGCGTGCACGCACCACCATGAGGGGGCGACGCAGTATACAACAGGAGTACCTTGCACATCCTGGAAATACATTCCACGTACCACACAATCCTACAACCACTTGGCATTGCTACAAGTATATCTATCACAGGGGCACGTAAATGCTGTTCAATCTGAAAGGTCCCCCCTAAGAATTCAGCTTTTCCGTGTTGTAAGCCTATAGTAAACGCAGTGATGCCCGGAGGGGCAACGTCATGTAGTGATTCCTGTCCATTAAAAGTGCCACGTTTCCGAAGATCTAGACACGTGTTGACGGTATATTCTCCCACAGGTATTCCGCCCCCACAGGGATTCCTTTCGTCCGCAACGTACATGAATGCGGGGCCGACGTCAGTGCTGCCGGTTTTCGCTGAAACCCTGGAAGCTTTGACGGAGTGAAAGACATCATTGTTCGACAAGAGACCAATTCGACGTTCACTCGTGATGTTGGCGTAGATCATAGATGAGGTTCAGAATCGAGGTCTGTACGTTTCAAATCGCAAGCGCACTCGATCGAAGTTGGCCATTGACGTGCGATTATGACCGCACTTATTGTAGCATCCACAGGTAGTTTTTTTAAGTGCACAGGTTTGTGTCTACATTCGTCGC